GGAAAGCCTTCCTAATGGGATTTCCAGACCCCAACCTCAAATAAGGCGTATGAAAGCGAGAACGAGGGACAAAAATGAAAGTAGGGGTAGGGGTGGGGAAAGCATACTTGTCCTCATTCCACCGATAATCATCCCTAATCACAAGGGTGCTTGACCAAATTTCTTATCACCTATACCCCTAAATTTCTTATCACCTATACCCCTGAATTTCTTATAAATTTTGACCACATTCTCATAATTTTTCACATTCTTGTTCTTTTTTTTTAGAATGTTGTATTTTTAATAATTATTTGAGTTTAAGTTTTTGATACAATAATTACACTTTTATTCTTTGTGCGGCTAAATTTTTTGAAGGTTGGCGTTTTTGTCCATAAAAATTGTTATTATTTTAACACTTTACTTCCTATATAATTTTAAAAGTACTTTAAAATTAAACTGAATGGACTCTAGAATTAAACTCACAATAACAATTAAAAGACAACTATTTTTTTAAAATGATCAAAAGTTAACTCTACTCTTTAAGCATTTTTTAAAGTATAAAAGAAAAATAAAGTCAAGAAATCAAAACCCGATATTGTTGGTCAAACAAAACTCAAGAATTTCGCTCAAGATTAAAAATTCTATAGTATTTTCTATAATTTTAGTTTCTTTTGAAAGGGGGAAAAAGTAAACCATTTTGTTAGTCTGCCCCTCCCCATGAAGCAATAGAAAAGGAGACACGTATTCAAAAAAATATATATCAAAGTTAGGCGTAACATGTTAAAATATTCTCCCTCTCTATAGCAATTTGGTTTCTATTTTATATCTAGACTTCTCATTTTATTTTTGAGGAAAAAATGTTTATTAATCAAATTTATTCATAAATTAATAGGACATATCTATTATTGACAAAGTACTTTTATTCTCTCTCTTTTAAGAGCATACTATCTGTTCTTTTTTTTTTTTTTTTTTTGCCAAGATCATCTGTCCTGTAATAGGAGACTGAAAATAAAATACCGTGTGTTTGCATTACCTTTTCATGTTATATAAGAGGCCTTTATAGAAAGTTTTATTAATAAAATAACTTTTTAAAAATTTTATTTGTAAAATGACTACGAAACAATCACGGATGACCATTTTTTATAAAGAACGACCAGGTGGTCGTTTTTGATAAAAAATGAAGAATATCATTTTGCTAATTTCACTTTATTAAATAGTCATTCTAACATATTTCTCGTTTTTAATTTTGAAGAGATTGTTGTCTCCTATTTTGTTGTAATCATAATGTATTTTTTTCCCCTGCTGATGGCAGTTATAAAAAAGAAAGTTTCGACAAGTGAAGTGGAAGCAAAAAACAAGTTAAAATTAAAAAAAAAAATTTAAAAATCTTTTTGTCCCTCTTAAGCTACTTTCAAGACCTCGACCATTTCTCACATCTAGTTGATTATTGCAATATGGCAATGGCAACTCTGCAAAACCCCATGAGGTTCAAGAGTCATTTTACTTTATAAGAAGAAGCCACTGAAAATTAGTCAAGATAAATCTTAACATCAATTCCATTATCAATAAGAGATTGAACGACTGCTCTTATCTTCCCTTCAAACTTGTCCCTGTCCCTTGGTGTGTAAGAAGCAGTGTAGACATCAGCTTCTCTTGCCCTGTCAGCCAAAATACGGCCAATGGCCAGACACGCGGGTATATCTGATCGGGACTTGAGTGCAGCTTTAATGTCCTTAGAGTTTGTGCCAGCGACTGCAACCTGCTTGCTCGTTACCCTGTGGGTAAGCGACGCCGTCACAAAGCGCTTCGAGATCAACACGTCGAGTGTGAATGGTTCCATGTAGGCCTCGGTGCGTTGTTTGAATGATACATGCTTTTGCGGGTTTTTCGACTTCCTCTCTTTCTTGTAGGTGTATGGCCGGCTATTGTTATCATCGAGGAAATCCTCTACCCCGAAAAAGCTTCTTGGTGCAGAATGAACCTTCAACATTGTATAAACAGAACGAACTTAATTTGATCAGGAAATCCTTGATAGGAAGAGACTTTTACCACATAGCATTACAGCAGTTTGTGAATTTCAGTTACTGCAGAACTGGTTGTCAGTAGTGGAAATGAAAGATCCATGCGAAAATACATTCAAACAAACCACAAAGCTGACACGAAATCAGGGCTCCCAAGAACACATTTTACGTTTTTGAAAGAAGAGAAGAAAATACCAATCCAAAATGTCAATACTAGCACAATTTGTATTTCATCAAGAAAACATCACAATCGCATATGTGACATCTACCTATAAATTTCTCAAAATAAAAGCGGATTATACCAAAGATAAGTTGCCTAATAAAAGGGAAATGTATCCCAAATCAGCTAACAACATTTTCCATTGTTATAAGACAGAAGAAACAGACAAAGAGGTAATGCTTCTCAATCTCATACATTTAGCAAAATCCTAACTATAGTACGTCCCATAAACTCACACTCACTAAAACTAACATCCAACAAAATTCCTTAGCTTTTATTT